AAAAACACGTACACAAGTATTAAAAGAACGTGATCGTTTAGGACATTGTTTTTATCGTTTTTCATGTGGTGAAAGTGATGCTGATGTATATGATCGTGCATCATTATTTCTTGATACATTATTTCGTGAAATGGATAATGGACATCATGATTCAACACAAAATATACTGATTGTATCACATGAACTATTCATATGTTTATTTCTCATGCGTTATTTTCATTGGAAAGTCGATCAGTTAAATAGTTTGAAAGCATTAGATAATTGTGAAATATGTGAATTAATAAAAAAGGATGGTGTCTATACACTTGATGGACATACAAGACCACCAACACAATCATCATAAAAAAAAAAAACAAAAAGACAAATTATAATTTTTTTTTGTAAAATTTTTGTCTTTTGTAGTAACAAAAGAATTTGATTTTTAAAATTAAGTAGTTATTATGAGTCCTTTCAAAAAAATTAGTAATATTGCAAAACAAGATGCAAGTGTGCTATTGTCAATGTCAAGGTTTATGTGAAATGTAAAAAACGAATAATGTATACTTTGACGAGCGAGATAGAGAAAAAAACCGATTCTTTTAGAAAGAATCGTTATCGACGATCAAATATTATTTGAAAATAATGTTATCAACTGAATAGACATGCATAAAAATTTGATAGATTTTGAATTTTTCAGATTTTTCGTTGTCTGAAGATTTCAGAGTGGAATCGGAATCACTGATTCTGATTTCAACTAATGAAAAGTACAGTATTGAAAACATTTTCATAAAATACTATATACATTGTTACTCTATTATAAACAATAATTAAATAAGCAACTAGTTCATTCTAGTATAAAATACATTCAAATCAACGGTTTACAAGAGTAATTTATATTATATACTTTTTAATCTCAGGTAAATGTGTGATAATTTCATTTCAGTTTGTAGATCTGTGCAACTCGATGTAGTTGCTGCTATTAATCAAGAAAAGATTGCTTTATTTTATCTTTTTTCGGACACATTTCTTCATCATCTTTTGACATTATCCTCCAAAAATGCAATCAGGAAGTACTTCATATATTAGAATAAAACTTTATTAATCTACAATCTATGGCATGGAGGACAGAATGTTATTAAGGCATTTATCATGCTATGGATGAAGGAGAGTAGAGTGGGCTTAAATTTTTACTTTTATACTTTATTACTCCTTTTAGAACATGTTTCAAAAATTGTTACAATCCGTAATATCTATTCATTGATGACCCATGAGTGCTTAATTGCATGCTGACGAGAGAATCTCTTACAATCTTCTCTTTTGGTTTCAATAACTTCTTTGTCTATAATAAAAACTCAAAAGATTTTAGATTCCTATAGAAATCTGACTAAGCTATTGAGTTTTTAATATGTTTATTTTCTAGAGACTACAGATTTTCAAAAAGCTCCTATTTTCAAATTTTGATCTGAAACTTTGCGTATATAGAAAACTCAAGTAGACTAACCTACCTAAAAAGATCGAAAGCTTTGAACAAAGTTCTCTTCAAGATATGAAGCTTTCAAATAATGCATGTTATATACACTATCTATTGCAAAAAGGGATCTATATCTTAAAAGTCTCATATCTCGAAGAAAATTTGTTCAAAGTTTTTGACTTGTTTTATTGAATATAGTCTAGTTCAGTTCTCTATATGCACGAAGTTTCAAGTCATCAAAATTTAAAAATACGAGTTTTCTGATTAAAATAAACATTGAAATCGAAAAGATGCAGTGGAGGAGACTTCCACGTGAGCAATCTAATAGACTCAGGAGTTGTCACACACTGAGCTATAAGATTGGTGAGTCCATATGGAAATCGAAATAGCTGATATCTATTTCAAAAAAATGTTGAATTTTTTCATTTCTATCAACGACTATTTTTTTTCTTCAAGGTTTTCTATCGGAATAAATTAGTCACAAGAATATAATATTATTTATGAGTTATTTTCGCACAATACACTAAAAGTAGACTAGAGCAACAGTTGAATACTACAATTAGTTCCAGACTGAATGTTATTTTTAATTATTTAGAAGAACACTATATTATAAAAGGTTGCTTTTTTCTTAGATGCAAATTGATAAAATTGTGAGAAATTTATCATCACTTCATTCAGCAAGATCTCTTACAAGTTGGATAAAATTAAGTAAAAGAGTTGACTAAAAAACCTAATGTAATGAAGAAACATCGAAAGAAATTTTTTTTTTCAATATTGTTTGAAAATTGTTTTTGTTTTGTTCACCATAAATAAACGAATCAAATTCTTACTGTTGTTACTGTCAGGCATAACTGAAAAAAAAACGACACCATGGCACTCAATCTCTTTTATGTTCTCTATCAATCAAATCAATTAGTGTAGGGAGTATCGTTCTTCTACAGTTGTACCAATTCAAAATTTTTGAACCTGGTTTATGGAACGATTTTGACCTTCAGATCTGACTGAATTAGTCCAATTGTATTTTAATACTTTTCATAAAAATTTTTTAGTGGGAATTGAATAGTTGCTTAGAAGATACGTGATACTTTTTCAGTTTTGTATTCGATGACTAGCACACCCTACACAATTCTCGGATGTCTAGAGCTTGCCGAGTTCAAATTTATTAGAACTGAAACTGATTA